CTCCCTATGTCCAATGCCTCATTGCTTGATGAAGGAACTGCAGCTGCTGAGGCTATGGCAATGTGTAATAATATTCTGAAAGGGAAGAAGAAAACGTTTATCATTTCGAATAATTGTCACCCGCAAACGATTGATATTTGTATTACTCGAGCAGCGGGTTTCGATCTGAACGTAGTGACTGCAGATCTTAAGGATATCGATTATAAATCGGGGGATGTTTGTGGTGTTCTTGTTCAGTATCCTGGTACTGAAGGGGAGGTGTTGGATTATGGGGAGTTTATTAAGAATGCTCATGCTAATGGGGTTAAGGTTGTGATGGCTACTGATCTTTTGGCGTTGACGATGTTGAAGCCCCCTGGTGAATTGGGGGCGGATATTGTCGTTGGATCTGCTCAACGGTTCGGTGTTCCGATGGGGTATGGTGGTCCTCATGCTGCCTTTTTGGCTACCTCTCAAGAGTATAAGAGGATGATGCCAGGACGAATCATTGGTGTTAGCGTTGATTCGTCGGGTAAACCTGCGCTGCGTATGGCGATGCAGACGAGGGAGCAGCATATCAGGAGGGACAAGGCTACCAGCAACATTTGTACTGCTCAGGTATATAGATTATATAGTTCATATGATCATTTTGTGAAACGTCAATTAGTAAATATGTATTGAGTTGGCTTTGCTTCGAATGTGTTCTCGTTTATATAGGCGTTGCTCGCGAACATGGCTGCCATGTACGCTGTGTACCATGGACCAGCGGGCCTCAAGGCCATTGCAACGCGAGTTCATGGCCTTGCTGGTGCTTTTGCTGTTGGACTGAAGAAACTAGGCGTAGCTGAAGTTCAAGGTCTTCCCTTTTTTGACACTGTAAAGGTTAAGGTTGCTAATGCTGATGCAATTGCTGATGCTGCTTACAAGAAGGGTATTAATCTTCGAATCGTCGACAAGAACACGGTAAGCAAAGTTCCATATTGTGCATCGATTACTTGATGGAAATATTTCATGTTGTGTGATTAACAATCGATGGATTGCTTTCCAGATCACCGTTGCTTTCGATGAAACAACGACCTTAAAGGATGTTGATGATCTTTTTTCGGTTTTTTCGGGTGGAAAGTCAGTAAGTATTTGAATTGTATCTAGAGTTGTAGTTTTGTAATAGTCCAAGCTTGCCGCTAGCAAATATTGTCCACTTTGGCCCGTTACGTATCACCGTCAGTCTCACGGTTTTAAAACGCGTCTATTAGGGAGAGGTTTTTACACCTTTATAAGAAATGTTTCGTTCCCCTCTCCAACCGATATGAGATCTCATAAGTTCTCTTTTTATGGTTCTTATTTTCTTGTCTGACAATATCTTGTTCTCGTATAGGTTCCATTTACCGCAGAATCTCTTGCTCCCGAGGTCGAGAATGCAATTCCTGCAGGGCTAGTGAGGGAGAGCTCATACCTTACCCACCCGATCTTTAACACGTACACATCGTTCACAATCATCGGAATATAAACTCATGTAGGAAGTTGTGTAACCTTTGACTAATATGTTATGTTCTGCATCAGGTACCATACAGAACATGAACTGCTGAGGTACCTCCAGAAGTTGCAGTCGAAGGACCTTTCGCTTTGCCACAGTATGATTCCGTTGGGGTCTTGCACGATGAAGCTGAACGCAACGACGGAGATGATGCCCGTAACATGGCCCGGTTTCACCAACCTTCACCCTTTTGCTCCTACTGAGCAGACTCAGGGGTATCAGGTAAATACGTATTATCTGAGTGAAGCATCGTGTTCGCTTAAAACAGATTGAGTTGACGTTGGATTTGTGTTCTTGTTTTCGAATTTGCAGGAGATGTTCAGTGATTTGGGAGACCTGTTATGTGCGATAACGGGGTTTGATTCATTCTCGTTGCAACCAAATGCTGGTGCGGCTGGAGAGTATGCTGGCCTCATGGTTATTCGTGCTTACCACATGGTACGTAACATCGAAACTAATCTCGACTAGATTGAAATTTTTAAAACCATGGAGTCAAATTTTTAATTGAACAAGTCAATTGTTGTGGTCTATGAGTTCCAAGGTGAGCCTCGTCAACAGGCTCAAAGGCCAAAGGTCGATCTAAGTTCAATTCAAGCTCGACCTAGTTTTGATTGGCTCGACCTAATTCAATTCATTTATTCATTGAATTTGATTAAAAATCATTATAGCGAAGATCGAGTCAATTCATTTGGATTATATTAGGTCGACTTGATCAAGTTCTAATAGTGTCTTAGGACTATTAGGGTCGGAATAAGCTTGAGCCTTCACTTTAAGGATCAAACTAGTTTGAGTCAACCCAATCATGAGAGTGAGTTCGATGACTATTTAAAATTATTTTTTTAATTTTAAAGACGGAATGTTATTTTGAAATTCTAAGAATGAAATAGACACGAATTTCAAACTAATCAAAAGTTTACTTTACTCTAGAAGATATTGTTTATAAAGGTAATTATATGATTAATTAATTAATTAAAATTTTAAATTTGCAATGACATTATTAAAGTTAAAATCAAGAGTGCTTCTACTTCTTACATTGAGATAAAAGATAATGGAAAAAAGAACTAAGATTTGCCTTAGAGAAAAAGTGAGCTAACTCAAAATTTTGCAGGCAAGAGGAGACCACCACCGCAACGTGTGCATCATTCCGCTCTCGGCACACGGGACGAATCCTGCAAGTGCAGCCATGTGTGGAATGAAGATAGTTTCAGTCGGAACCGATTCGAAGGGAAACATCAACATTCCGGAGCTGAAGAAGGCTGCAGAAGCCAACAAGGAGAATCTCTCAGCTCTCATGGTAAGAGATTCCATGGTACATTCATGGAGAGAATTAGAATTTGAGCTAAAACTTGACTGTTTGGTTGAAATGGTGATAGGTCACATACCCTTCTACTCATGGAGTGTATGAAGAAGGCATTGATGAGATTTGTAAGATCATTCATGACAATGGTGGTCAAGTCTACATGGATGGAGCCAACATGAATGCCCAGGTACGTGCCATGGCGTCTTCCGATCTTATCACTTCTGATATCAATTCATATTCAGAGTGTATTGACAGTAGATTCTGGGTGTGTTCTTCAGGTGGGTCTAACAAGCCCGGGTTGGATCGGAGCTGATGTTTGCCATCTCAATCTCCACAAAACCTTCTGCATTCCACATGGAGGAGGTGGCCCTGGCATGGGCCCTATTGGTGTCAAGAAGCACCTTGCACCATTTTTGCCTTCACATCCTGTGGTAAAACATCTCAGTTCAATTTGATTGCTATACAAAAGACACTTCCAATAGATTTTAATTTGGCGTTGAATTCTAAAGGTACCTACTGGAGGCATACCTGCTCCTGACAAAGCGCAGCCTCTTGGTACAATAGCTGCTGCACCATGGGGGTCTGCTCTCATTCTCCCTATATCTTACACTTACATAGCCATGATGGGATCCCAGGGGCTAACCGACGCATCAAAGATCGCCATTCTGAATGCAAATTACATGGCTAAACGTTTAGAGGTTCCTGATTCTTATGTTTCTTCCTTTCACGCCTTCAATGATCCTCGTAAATTGTTTAAGAATAGATGTCCGATCCGATTCTATGCTCTGCTCTGCAGGAACATTACCCTGTTCTCTTCCGTGGTGTCAATGGAACGGTTGCCCATGAATTCATCATCGACTTGAGAGGCTTCAAGGTAGTTTTTTTTTTCTTTCAAAGTTTTACTAGAGTTTCTATCCTGCAAGTTGGGTCATTTTTGTTGTGCAATTGGCGCAGCAAACTGCTGGAATAGAGCCTGAAGATGTTGCTAAACGTCTAATGGACTATGGTTTCCATGCACCCACCATGTCATGGCCTGTCCCTGGCACGCTCATGATCGAACCCACAGAAAGTGAAAGCAAGGTACCTTTCGTAACACCAACACGGACACCAACACCTTTTTCCTTTTCACATCCTGCTAAGTAAATGCAAACGCCTTTTGCAGGCGGAGTTGGATAGATTCTGTGACGCCCTTATTTCGATCAGAGAAGAAATCGCCCAGATCGAGAAAGGAAAAGCTGATATCAACAACAATGTCCTAAAGGTGAGGTTCTCTTCACCAGAGTTCAATAACTTAACCAATTTTCATCTAATAAGACTCTTAACAAGGATTTTCACTGCGTATTGATGCAGGGTGCTCCTCATCCGCCATCTCTGCTAATGGGAGATGCATGGACAAAGCCATACTCGAGGGAATATGCAGCTTTTCCTGCTTCCTGGCTCAGGGGTTCCAAGTTCTGGCCAACCACAGGTACATACAAGTTACTTGGTTCTTACTTCTCTGCTTAGTTTATGTCGACGTGGTTTCTGTTACTGAATGGAATTCGCGGTGGTTTCAGGACGTGTCGACAATGTGTATGGTGATCGCAACCTGATCTGTACTCTACAGCCAGCGAACCAGGTTGTCGAGGAAGCAGCAGCAGCCACTGCTTAGTTTCCTACACAGTTCTTCCTGCAAGATTCTCAATTATATTACAACTTTTCTCTGTTTCTCCTCTCTAGTTTCACTGTACATACATTACCAATATTGGTATTTGTCATTTCACTTTCCTGAAACGTTGAAAGTTCGTTGCTGCAATACAACATTTGTTGCTGATTGCAACTTCAACATTGTAGTAATTGTTGCTTACCTCCCTTTTCGCTTTTTCCTTTCGGTTCTGTTTCTACCACTCAAGCTCACCGCTAGCAGATATTGTTCTCTTTGAATTTTCCTTTCCGAGCTGCCCTTTGAGGTTTTAAAACGCATCTACTAGTGAAAGGTTTTTACACCCTTATAAGCAATGTTTCGTTTCTCTCTCCAACCGACGTGAGATCTCACAATCCACTCACAATTCATCTTCTTTGGGGGACCAACGTTCTCGTTGGCACACAGCCCGATATTTGCTTTGATACTATTTGTTGTAACCGCCCAAGTCCACCACTAGTAGATATTATCTTCTCTGGCTTTCCCTTCCAAACTTTCCCTCAAGGTTTTAAAATACAACCTCTAGTGAGATTTCCACACCTTTATAAGCCTAGAGTTCTCCACACCTTTAAAGCAAGCATTGTGCTTTATTCCCCTCTTCACTTAACGTAGGATCTTACATTAACTTTGTCACCAACTCCTATATGCACAAACAATGAATCAAACTCGTATCTTGTATCTTTGAAAACCAAGCTTCTTCAATAATTCAGAGGCCAGAAAGTCAACCAGTGGCAACCCGAGTCGTTTGCCTCAACTCATCCTATCGCATCAAAGACACACCAAAACACAAGCCGTTCATAAACAACCAGTAAATTTATCCTACTCATGACATCAACAGATCATCTACCAGAAGGAAAACTTACCTCTTAGGAATGGACTTTCTCTGACTATTACCTTCAGCATCGTCCACATTCTGAAAAACCAAACATTATTTTTCATTGTAAAATTAGTCATTGACGCACAAAGAGCAAAAATGTCATACCTAGCTAGCATCGAATTCATTAAACAAATGGCTTTTCAAGCAACATTTTTATTTCGCACGAAGTAGCCCCTATTGGCGAAGCAATTTGTTGGTTTGATTTTGCGAACGACGACTAATTCTCTTGCTTACCAAGAAACGGGATTCCATCAATCTAATCTGGAACCTCATTCTCAAACTGAAAAAACAAATCGTTTCGATTTTTATTAATTTTGTTCACTCGCTCACCATATATTTTCCGCTCAATTTGTACACGTATGAAGAGGACCAAAACTTCATTACAACTAGAAAAGCATACAAAAAGATGCCGATGTCGATATCGATATCGGTATCAAAGTCAAGAAATACATTCATGTGCAGATTCTAACACATCTCTTAGACTATGAACAAGCTAGCTAGAATAACAATGGTAGAGCGCTGGCAAGAAATGATACACAAAGCCTGGAAAATGATACTACTGTACAATGCACAGATGGAATAACCAGAGTGTTTTGGCCTGAGTGATACCTTCGCATCGATGCTTCCTCAGTTCTAATGAAGTAAGATCCAGTGATTTCAGTTCAATGCAAAAGTGGCTGCGAAATTTTTAATCTTCAACCTCAGTGTTGAAAACAAAACTCGAAAATATTGTCGTTACATCTCTGAAAGATTGAACACCATTAAAAACTAAATATAGTTCGTGTTCTTATAAATAATAAGGACTTGTTTGAAATGATTTTTCAAGTATTTTTAGGCACTTGAAAAGTCATTCCGACACAAGAATTTACTTACTTCAAATAAGGAAGAGTCATGTTCTTCAAAAGAGATGGATGTTTGCTTACAAAAGCCTTCCACTCTTCCTTGCTGATTCTTCCATCCTTATCAGCATCAGCATCAGCAAATGTCTGCAGGCACTACAAGCCATTAGAAACTTCAAAGAGCTCTGAGAAAGAAAAAAAATGGCAATAGGTTCGACCGAGACCTGGTCGAGAATTGCTTCGAGAAGTTCATCGGATAACCTCGTGTCAGATTCCATTAAGATTGCTATAAGCATTTGCTTAACCTGAATCCAGCAAAACTCCTAGTTAGCCAGAAGTCCAAATGACACCAACAAAACAACCATCTTCTACCCCTTGAAGCTCGGCTTACACATCAGTTTGACCCAATTAATACTCACTTCTTCACGTTCGATGAACCCCGTTTGCCTCAAATCATAGAGTTTAAACGCAACTACAAGAAATCATGGACAAAAATCAATACATATACAAGATGATAGAGCCAAACAAACGTTCTCTTCTACACTTACAGTCGATCTTCTCCTCAGTAGGTGCATGGGGATGGAAAATGCTAAGAGCATGGACAAATTCATCAAATTCAATCACTCCATTTTTTCTTTCATCAAAAAGATCAAAAACCTGAGCATAAAGTAGTAAAGTGTCAAGCAAAAGAAAAGGAGCAATAAAATGACATGGTCAATAAAATTCTGACCAAAAAACTTTTTTTTTTCTTCTCATTTGGTGGATGGAAGAGACTTTTAATTGTGTAAAAACATTTAGGACCTCCCATCCAATGTATAGTAATTTTATACATTCATTGTATTCTACAGAGAGAGAAATACAGATACAGAGTACAAACATAATGACAACGAAATAGAATGATTTTGTTGAACATAATCATAGAGAACATATAAGAGGGAAACTATAACAACTCAAGCTCACCGCTAGCAGATATTGTCCTCTTTGGGTTTTCCCTTTTGGGCTTCCCTTTAAAAATTTTAAAATGCGTCTATTAGGGAGAGGTTTCCACACCCTTATAAAGAATGTTTTGTTCCCCTCTCCAACCGATGTGAGATCTCACCGTAACTCCATGCCTCGGTATCAAGATTCCATTCTAACTTAATATATGACTAAATGTTATTTTTATGTGATTCCTTTCTACTACCCCAAGTTAACCTTTCTACCAGCAATAAATCACATATAAGGATTAGTTGAACATATAAATTCCATCACAAAATTTTTATACATGGAAGTATAAAGATTGAGAAACCTTAATGGAAACAGTGACAAACATTAAGAAAAACATAAAAGGTCATGATGACAGTGACTTGGATTGTGTGTCTTGTGCCCATTCTATGATGTAAATAATCTTAATGAAGAAAAAGGGCTTTCATACACTTAATTTATTGCATTTACCCGATCCAGAAACAGGTTCTCGCCATATGGACTTCTGAGAAGTGCCAGCTGAAGCTCCTCCTACAGTATGAAACCAGACATAGAATAAGAGTCCAAGATGTTCTTGCTAATTGGCGTTCCCGCTCCAGTGAAATGGATTATTTATCTCATGTCAGAACCCACAGGGGATGGAAACAAAATACAAACATTTGAACATGTCATTTACTGTTGTACTATATTCACTTTATATTTAGAGCTTTACAGTATTCTCCACTACACTTTTATGATATGCTTCAGAACTTTATGCAGGCTAATGGAAATTTCATGTACTACACTAAAATGGGTAGTGCTTCCATTATTGTTACGATGGCATCTTTCAAAAAAGAATGATGTGAGGTACCAACTAGCTTCAAAAGCATTATTCATAAAGTAAATTCATAGTGTGAATGGAGTGAATATGTGCTATATGCTAAAGAATGCTGCGGTATATTCATGGAAAGAAATGTTCTCCTCCTAAGTTTTTAAAAGGACAGGTTTCCACACCCGTATAAAGAATGTTTCGTTCTTCTCCCCAATCGTGGGATCTCAGAATTCACCCCTCTTTGGGGTCCAGTGTCCACGCTGGCACTCGTTCCCTTCTCCAATCAATGTGGGACCCTCCAATCCACCCCTTTTTGGGGCCCAACGTCCTTGTTGGCACACCGCTTCGTGTCCACCCCCTTCTGACTCAAGCCTCTTTCGTTTTCCTCCCCAACCGATGTGGGATCTCACAATCCACCCCCTCTGGAGCCGAACGTCCTCGTTGGCACTTGTTCCCTTCTTCAATCAATGTGGGACTCTCCAATCCACCCTCCTTCGGGGCCTAACGTTCTTGCTGGCACACCGCTCCGTGTCCACTCCTTTCGGGGTTCAGCCTCCTTCTTGGCACATCATTTTGGCTCTGATACCATTTGTAACAGCTCAAGCTCACCGCCAGCCGATATTGTCCACTTTAAGCTTTTCTGTGAAGAAATTTGAGATGCTAGAGAGAGGTTTCCACACCCTTATAAAGAATGCTTCGTTTTCCTCCCGAACCGACGTGGAATCTCATAGTGAATCAATCACATGAATCCATGGAATATATGAGAAAAATCAGAAGAAGCCAGAAATCCAAGAGCCACTACCTTGTGAATCGATCCATCATCAATAATCGAACTACTCAGCTTCTTGAAAAGCTCATACAGCGCTTCCACTTCATTGGTAGAAACTGTACAACACCCACACCAAAGCTAAAATTTAAACCTCACTTCGTAGTATGAACAAGAAATCAAATCACTCCACCAGTCTCCTAAATTGACAAGGATTTGTTAAAAAAACGCCCTAAAGAAAGAGAGAAACCCTTACATCTAGTTTCACTAGCAAGCCGAGAAAGTTCACTAAGGCAGCGGCGACCTTTCTCACTCTCATGGCGACAATCAAAGCATCTGCTCATCGTCAAAATCAAGGCCTCTACAACCGCAATGATTGGTATAAATGCCGCACAGATCCGTTCGCTCACCGTAAAGAAACTTGAGCTCTGTTCAATAACAAAACCAGAAACCGAACTTCGATCTTAAATTAATGGTAGTTTCAAATATGTATATGAAAGAGCTGGAAGCGTCGAGAATTTACCGATAAACTCATGGCTGTCGATACTCAAATCTCCAGAAAAATTTACGAACGCCTACATCCCATCGTCTCCTTCCTCCATGTTTGCCTTCATAAAACAGAAATCGCAGCGAAATCTTCCCAGTTTACGTGTCGCATACGTAGAAGAGAAAGGGATGGAGGATGAACTAGATGGGTAACTGGATCTGGACAGATTCTTCCATTTCTGTCGACTTTCAACTCTTTCCCGCTTTGACAACGTGCATATATAGAGTTCTCGATTCACCATTGATATGACGTTAAAACAACAATCAATCACTTAGTTTAATTTCATTGAAAGCAACTAGAGGTAACTGTTGAGTCACCAATCCAATCCAAAATTTGAGAAAATTTGAGATTGATTGGAAACTCAAATCAACTCTCATGCTCTATTTTTGTTGGATTTTAGTAAATTAATACCTTTCAAATTTAAAAAAAAATGAGCAGGAAGAAATTGACGATACTTCTTTATTTTTTGAGTTGTTCTGTAGGATCGATCGTTCAAAACCTTTAGTTTCTATCCGAACCCGATGAAAAAAATGGGATCACTTCTTATGGACTCGTTGAGAATGATTCTGATCTAGTTCATAGTTTATTAGAAGTAAAGGCGCTCTGTTGGGATTAGGATCCTCACGTACAGAAAAAGATTGCAGTAGATTTGATAATGATCGTGTGACATTGCTTTTTCGGCCTGAACCCAGGAATCCCTTAGATATGATACAAAGGTGGTGCGGGATCATCCAACACCTCTCCTTAATCGAGACGTGGAGTCCTTTGTTCGACATTTGAGGATTTACCAATCTATTGGCACGACTAAGTTTAGGACATGACTCTGATACCATGTTAAATCAACACGACTCTCCATGATTGTATGATATTGTCCACTTTGAGCCTCTCATAGCTTCCCACAAGGTCTCATAACAATGGAGAATATCATTCGATTATAAACCCATGATCATTCCTTAAATCAGCTTACTCTTTCAACAAAAAATGTCTGAAGTTTTTTATAGACCGTTGAAAAAAAAACTTATATTTAATTTTAATGATTATTATAAAATTTCAAGAATATTTAGACCCAGTTATTAATGGGACGTGCATAAATAAGATTTTTTATAATAATAAAAAAATAAACAACTCCACAACTTAACCCAACTTGAGAACTGAGGATTGTATTGAGTTGGTTTGAATGATGAACTTTATGTTACTGGACCAATCTAACTAATTCGGATCGTATCGTAGACTGAATTAGAGTCATATATTATATTTAAAAAACATTTAATTTATTTTTTTAAAAATTGGACTATTATTTAATCGAATATTATTTTATTTTAATCTGGTGGCCATGAATTCTCTTGCCCGGTATTCATATTTCTTTATTATTATTTATTTATTTGTTTATAATATTTTGTTTAAGTCTTGTAAACTTTTTTTTATAATTAAAAAAAGAATAAAATATTTTTTAATCTAAACCATGGATAATGTTTTTTTTAAAATTCATGACATAAATATTTATTTTTATACTTCCCAATATAAATTTTAGGTGAATTTTGACAACGTTGTTTAATGATTAAAATAATTAAAATAAAATATGACATGACATGTTACTTTCTTGGTCTACCTTTCCATTTCATTTATTTTTGTTCTTACTAACAATACTTTTTCCGACAATAATTGCCTATGAAATGTACTTAAACTAATAATTTTGTTGGCACAAATATATAAATATGTTTATAGGTTAAATACTATTTTAATTTAGGCTAAATTAATAAATAAAAAATATATATCCCTATTTTTCTCTAATAAAAAAATTCTAAACTTTTAACTTTTTAATGATATTGTCCACTTTGAACCTGAGCTCTCGTGGCTTTGCTTTGGGCTTCCCCAAAAGGCATAACTCTCACGACTCTCCACAACATGTTGAGCATAAGCTCTCACGACTCTCCACAACATGTTGGATGATGAAAGTCCCACATCGACTAATTTAGAGAATGATCATGAGTTTATAATTAAGGAATACTCTCTCCATTGGTTTGAGGCCTTTTGGGGAAGCCCAAAGCAAAGACGTGAGAGCTTATACTCAAAGTGGACAATATCATATTATTGTGGAGAGTCGTGTTTCGGACAATATCATATTATTGTGGAGAGTCGTGTTTCTCAAACAGCGCCAATATCGTACAGATGAAATCAACGTGGTGCTAAGGTGTTTGATCTTTTTTATTTTATTTTTTAAAAAATTCATAAGTATTTTTTAAACTTTTAACTCTTTTTTTTAGTTTGAAGACCGACAACAGAACCAAGCCCAAATAATCCAGGCTTGGGTCCAAAACGGCGCATGAGGCTAACCGACGTCGTTGAATGTCGTTTATAAGAATCCCAAGTGGCAATTCAACTTGGCCACGTGGGTGGGGCCCATCCCCACTGGATCTCCACTGTCCCTTATGACTTCTCAATATTACTCCATTTCAAAATTTAATTATAGATTTAAATTCTATTTTCCTCCCAATTAAAAAAAACAAAAATTCCTATTTTACTACCTTATAATCTCTTTTATATGGAGCCTAATTTATTTTTATTGTTTTTAATTTACCAAAAGAATTAACCCAATAACTTCTCTCTACACAGTTTTAAAAAGTTTTTAAAATTTGTGATTCATAAACTTATTAAATATTTTTAACATTTTATAAATTAAATTCACAAAAACTCCAAATTTCACAAATTTTATAATTTATTTCATTACATTCAAATAAAATAAATCCATTCATTATCTTAATTTTTTTAATTATTTATATTATTTATTTGAATTATTAATACACTCAAATTATAGTCAACATTACCATTTTTTAATCATCTTTCAAATTAAAATTTATTAAAGTTTATAATAAAAATTAATTCGATTATTATGATTCATTAAATTAAATATATATATATATATATATATATATATATATATAAGTGTACCTCCAGAAGTCGGCGATGCGCTATTCAACGACGGTTCAAGAACTACACATTGACCTTTCACTCTGATATGGTTAGCTACTGACTCCCTCTCTTCAACGCTATCGTCTTCTCCTCCACACTCTCTCTCTTCCTGGTTTCTTCATTTCTCCTGCTTCCGAATCCCTGTGTTTCTCCTTTCACCTCCATTTCTCTCCCATGGTGAGCAACTAGTTGCCAACATTCCTGCAATGTTGAAGGTTTCCTCCTCATCTGACTGCATTTCCATCTTCATCTCTCTTCTTCTCCTCTCACTTCCTTCCACCGCTCTCGCCCTCTCCGACGCGGATCACCTGGTTCTCGCTAACGCTACTCTCCAGTCTAGTAATGTATCCAGTCCGAGGAATAAGGAGGGTAGTTTTGCTGACATAATTGATCGTGCTTTGGAGAATGAGTTCAAGGAGAATGAGCAGAATGAAGGTTAGTAGATCTTAGATCTCGTTTGCTCATTCCTTTTTGTTAGGGCTTTCATTTGTTTGGTTTAGCAATTTGCGTTAATTTTGGTTTACGAATTCTTCAGTTCTATAGTTATGTGGTTTGTTTGTTTGTTTGTTTTTTTTTTTTTTTTGATCTGGTTCGTTTCAGTTTTGTAGCATTTGGATACGTATTTCTCACTTTTCTTAGTAAGAGGATGTTAATACGGAATTTGTCTGTAATTACGATTTCTGTATGAATTGTTCTTTCTACCTCTTTGGTTTTAGCTTTTCAATTTGATCATTTAGATCAATACATATCGATCCCATTTGTTATTTCTATCCTTCTATTGTTCACGTATTTTACATATTTATTTTAGTGTTTAAATAGTTTGAGAAAGTTGTTCAATGCGCATGATGTATGCTAGATATATCGCTGGTGGCTTCACTATTATGATGTTGATACCTTCTATATTCTATTTGAGTAATGTGAGGACATTTCTCTCTCTTGTATTTCAGCAACTGATGCAGGAGGCTTCAACAACAGCGTAGCGGAGCAGCAGGTATATTTTAAACTAGTGATCATTATTCTTAAAGACTTAATAAGCTCAACACGTGAATTATGGATCCTATTCACATAAGTAAAGTAAACTGTTTCAAGCATATACGGTCACAATCATGCGCTGGTTTTGCCCTCATTGATTGACGTTGTTAATCAGGCAGTTCTGGAGACTGTGGCAAGGGTAAAGTCAAAGAAAAATGATACGAAAGAGGAAAAGTATATGCTTCTTACTTGAGTATTACATTTCACTTTCAGGCCATACTAGTGGATTAAGCGTGTATTTCCCTAAAACTTGTGCTTCTAATTTAGGTTTCAGCTTCAAAATGTTTTCAATTTGGACAGTGATAATGGAGCTGAAGACACTCCTACATTGATTGATCGGAAGGTACAAGTATTTCATTTTTGGTATTCTATGTCAGATGTTTGTTTTATGTTCAGAGGTTTGCTGAAACTTCTTATTTTCCTTCTTTTTCAGGACAATGTCTTTATCATATCCAACTTCAAGTCTAAATATCCAGTGCTGCAGCTAGACTTGAGGTATGTTTTTATTTCATATAATTGTCCCTTAAGTAATGAATGGATATTAACTCATGATTTTTTGAGTTGGCAGATTGATCTCAGATTTGGTTATCGTTATTGTCTCTGCAACTTGTGGTGGCAATTGCCTTCGCCTGTGCTGGACAACCAGTATGATTATTTTTTACCTAAGCTATTTGATGGTGAATAACATTCCTAGGATGTGATCTGATTTCTGATATGGAAATCCAATGTATGTGTAACATGTGTTATATTTTATCAGGTTATAACTGGATACCTTCTAGCAGGATCTATTATTGGGCCTGGAGGATTTAATTTTGTCAGTGAAATGGTGCAAGTACGTTTCTCCTAAAGCTATCATTTATGTTTCCTGGGTCTCTTTTTTCCTCTACGAAAAAATTGGAAGACAATAGCATGTTATTTGGAATGCATGTCCTTGAGTTCTTTATGTTTTAGTCTTGTCTTCAGTGCTGAAAATGGAGCATTCAGGCTTTGTAGTTCAACCTGAGAAGATCAGAATGCAGAGTTCTTGATCTCTTCATGAGATCTTCTCAGATGAATTGGAAAAATACCCTACCCCTCTTATTTCTTATCTTTTTTTGTCTAATGAATTTGTTTTGCTTCCAAAGTTTTAATTTGGTAATTAACCACCAGCGATTTTTCTTTTTAATCTTGTTTATTTTTATTTAACCAATAGGACATGATAAAAGAATAGGCTTTGCTGCAGTTTGGATTAGTTTCTAAAATGTTTCCATCAAGAAAGTGGATTCTGATTATTTTAACGTGCATTGGCCTCTTGACCAAATTTCTAAAAGTTGATTCTAATCTGTGAGATGACTTGGGTCTGTAGATAGGGGTTAATTAGTCATTAGATAATTTTTTGTTATGAAAGGTTGG